AAATTTTTAAAAAAACTTCAAAACAAAAAAAATTAAAACTAAGCCCCCGGAGCAACGCCCGGGTCTGAGAGCTAGTTTATAACCTAATATCCATTTACTATCCACCTCCGGGTAAATTAACAAATCATAAGGCAAGATTTTTTTTAGCCCCAAAAATATTAGCTTTGCCCCATGTTTATTACGACACCTTTTAGATCTCATTTTGATTGGTTAATTATCACGTGATATGAGTACGAGAGATATTCCTTGAATAGCCAAGACTTTCCATTAACTATAAATTTACAGAAACACAAAAAAAAAGTAAATACGTATGAAAAAATTTCATTATTAAATTTCATTATTAAGGGGTCTCACTTTGACAAAAGTAGAAAAATAAAATGATTTTGATTTTAATTATTATCATCGTTATAGTGAAATTAAATAATACCGGATATTCGGTAAACTTTATCGTGACGGGATTGGAGATTAGATTCACCTATGAGCGGGAATCGTTCGACGAGGTTAAATTAATTAACATAATAGTCAAATGCAAATATATCTATAAAAGTTATTGCGTACGGAAATGTGCATCTTATCACCTTATTATAGGAGCGATCAACTAACTAATCTATCGTAATCTTTCATCTCTAATTTACCATCTAACGCGTTTCTTAAGCTTATCGTGACAAGGAATACAATATGTGTTTCGTATCATCAACTACGTAATAAATTCATTCAATGATTGGGGTTGTAAAATTTTTAATACTAACCTTGTTCGTTTAAACTATTTTGGTGTTCATGTGGCGAAATTATATCACAAACAAGCATGCAACATAATTCGATTTAAAGACCAATTTTTGGCGTCTTCGTCAAACGTTAAAAAGGTACAAAGTTCATTTGTATATATAAATAAATTTATATTACGATAATTACGATAATTACGATAGCACACGGCTAATTTGATCATCAAACATTTATTCTCACGGGTACATATTCAATATCACTATTTCGAGATTATCAGTTTATATAAAAATTCACATTCTACATAATTTTCTCTACTCACCACTCACCCAATTTTATACGTTTGTAAATATATTCTATCATGGCTCATCCACTTCTTATAAAAATTTTAAACGTATTAGCTTACATTTTTCTTTTGAGTGCAAATATTTATTCTGTTTTTGAAGGCAACAAGGTATGTCCTTTCCTTTAACGGTCTTTGACGGACTTTGACGGACTTTGACGGTTGAAAACACGTTAGATACATAATTTTTCAAAATTTTCAAATTTATAGAGTAATTCTCCTTATCATGAAGCCCACAAAACTTACATCTCTCCAGCTCCTTTTGTTTTTGGCGTTTGGGGTCTTATTCACTTCTTGTTAGGAGGTTTCGGTAAATAACTAAATTACTTGCTAATTTATCAAAGTCTTTTGTCTTTTAACTTGGATAATCAAATTTGACTTAATTACAATTTTTTTTTTACCCTTAGTTATTTATCAGTTCTTTCCTGGGGAGAATGAAGTCGTTGTTGAAGGTATCAACTGGCACTTTATCGGAATCTCACTACTTAATGCTTTGTGGTTAGCTTTATGGGTTCGTTTTTTTTTCTCACCAAATTAATTTTACTTTATTAATTTTACTTTATCTGTTACTGCGTTACCCGCATGAAAGCTCATTGTAAATCTTATGTTCTTTATTTATTTATTAGGAGGCCAATTGGTTAATTATTTCATTCATTGCCATTTTATTCACCTCCTTCCAAATTTCCTACGTCTATGGTGTACTCAAAAAGCAAGACTATGCACCTAAAAATTTGATCGACCAACTTTTGATTAATGTCCCTTTCTCTTTATATCATGCATGGATCGCCGTGATTCTAACACTTAGCTTTTTCGCCATCGTCACTCCTGAAAAAACTAATGAGGAACCAATCCTTCTTGTTAAAATTGTTGTTGTAATCGCGTTACTTATACTTAAAAGTTTATCAGCTACATACATTGAAGCAGGCGATGATATTTCTGGTGCTATCGTCATTGCTTGGACTTTGATTGGTATTTTTGTCGAGCAAGAAGATTTAGTTATCCATTGGACTGCTCTCGTTCTTGCCGTCTTCTCAATTCTTCATATCATCAAAGGTATTATTTTCCTTGTTATTCGCAGAAACAGAACAGGCGGAGAATACACCGCATTGAATAATCCTTGAAGAAAATGAACTATACTTTTCAATCTTGATATGATTCATTCAGTACATACATTTAAATAAAAATGTTTATATGTTAGGAGAATTTCTATTTTTTCTATTATACATTTCATATTTAGTTGCTATGATGATAATCTTTTTATGTATCAAATAATTAAAGATGTCCTTTTACGTATATATTTTTAAAATAAAATGTCGGTATACATCTTATTTTGTATAAAAATACGTCAGCTTTGCAGTAACACAAATATATCCAATTATTTGTACGTATAAAGGCGGGGTAATTTTGACCGAATATGCAAAGTCGATCGTCTGTGTTATATAAGACTGAATCGGTTCGGCTTTCTTCCTAGTGGTCAATTATTTACAATGGTATTTATAAAGTTTAAGAATGTAACATTTCACGAGAGAAAATTAAAAATTTTGACCATCTCAATCTTCTCAATCTTCTCAATCTTCAAATAAAACGCCCAACAACAGTTACTATGAGAAGTAACGTTGCTACGTAAATTCTATAATGTAGGAATTAAACTGCCCGCCCAAGGAAAACTTTTTTCATACTATGTTAACTACTCTTCGAACTCTAACTAAAGCTCGAAGAGTAGTTGACATAAGTTTTTCTTGGCAACATTATAGGATTTACATAGTAATTTGTATCACGTTACATTAATACTGTAGAACTATGTATAAATGTCATATATGTATAAATAAAAAATAATTTGATCAATTACAGTAAGTATAAAAAATTTTAAGCACTTTGGTATACCATAGTACTAGGTTCTCTAGGTATAATACGTACGTACGTACATAGATTATAGTAAATGAAATGGGTTTTTAAGCAAAAATACAGTATAGAGTTAACTTTATAAGCATAATTTTATTGGCTGATTGTCACATGTTATTGCATATCACCAATCATAAAACAATGCTCAATAGATATAATGTTAATTGTAACGTGGGGTGTTGTTAATCAAACGACGTTGAATATGCATGTTACAATTGGCTTTTGTGTATTGTGTCGTTTGATTGACGGCTCCCCAAATTCTGGGTTGGATTCACTGTAATTACCAAAATTTTATGAATCATACTCTACGTACTCACTAAGTAAATAATGCCCGAAATACCCGAAATACTTATGGTGATCGCTTTACATAGCAGGGAGGATGGTTAAAGCCTTTTTTAACATGCCCAAGTCCACGACTCATCTAAGTTTAATAATGAAATAATTTATGACCATTTTTTGTTTGGGAAGTTAGAATAGATTATTTTAATAAAATTTTGAATAATTTTAATATAAAAAATTGTAACTGGTATGTATAGCAATTACCAAATAGAGAAAATAATAAAGTGATGGAAATTCAGCCAACGAACCCTTCCCATCTTTGGAAATTGATTTAAACCTTTTTTACACGTTTTATTGTTATGATCTTTCTAGAATGATTGCGTAATTTATCTATTCAGTGAAACGAATTAAAAATTTTCACTTTGCCTTATCGTTATGCCATTTTTTATCAGTGTTAAAATTAGGATGTTATCCTGCCCAAACTCAGTTCGAAACTCAAACCCGTTAAACACGTGTTTCCGTGATCACGTGATTTAAATTAAACTCAGTACTGCTCAAAATCGATTTCTTAAACAAAATGTTTCATAATTTTTTTTAAAAAGTTAATTTCCATGACGTTAATGATGTAAATGAATTTTCATATTATTTTTTATAGAAGCATTTTCAATTGCTATAAATACGTACCATTTTTTTTTCTCTTCATATGATGAACCTAATAATCTAAATGAACTTATCCCCACATCGATTTCAACATTAGCATACACAACAAACTGTTCCTCAAAACTATTTAAAACTGATTCCTTCTGGATGAGCTTATTGAAAGTGACGACAAGTAATATTGCAAGTAATATTGCAAGCATTGCAATCAAGCCTCTTCAATGAATACATAATCAGCTGGATAAGTGGAATGAATTAATAACGATAAGATGTATTAGTAAAATGAATGTTGAGCCATATAGATCTGAAGGCGCCTTTGTTTGAAAACATGATATGAATCGGGTATGATTGAATGCATGAGGGTCAACAAATAAAAAAAATAAATCACTACAATGCATACGTAATATGCAAATATTGATTTTTTTTTTTAAAAGAGTGAGGCCTAGCCATATCAAATATTGATATAATAAATATCACACGAAATGTATATATAATATATTATATACAGCAGGTTTTAAACTAACATGTTCAGGCGTACATAATTAATAATATATGCATATAAATAGTTTAAAGCTGATTTTGAAACCCAGTTTACGTATGTGTTTCCAAACAGTGTTCGAACGCACAAACTAGCAGGTTTAATCAGGATAACATCCCTAGTTAAAATCATTATTTTGCCGTTTACAAATCAATCTATTTTCAAATTTTACAGTTAATAAATATAGTCAAATAAAACTGTGATTATAATTAGATTAAATTTTTTATATGTACAGTATTTTATAATAAGTTAGTAATTATAACCAGGGTGACTATAGCGAGGGTTGACTGTAGATCAAAATACAGTAGTAAAGGACGCCCTTAGCTCCCTCTATAATTTTGATTAATTGAATTTCAGAATCAGGTGTAATGTAAAAATCGAAACGAAACCAAAAAAAAAAAACAAGAATAACTCTAAACTTTAATTAGAAAACCACCTTATGCGGCCTAATTAAAAATGTTCCTCATGATGTTTAGTAATAAGTGCTAACTATAACACGGTTTTTTTTTGGTTTTTATTTTATATATAACTTTTTACTTAGAAAACAAGTTTTGATATCTGATCTTAAATTTTGTCAAAATCACTGGGAATAACCAATTTTTATCTTTTTAAAGATTATAACTAATTTCATCCGTAGTGATATCACTCAGTATTATAAAATTTTTATTAAAAATTAAAAACCTTAAGGTTAGAGATTAGAGTTGGCTTTAGATTAGGATAAGAGATACTGTTTATATTTAAAATTTGATATTGAAAACTTTGTTTAAAAGTTAAAGCATAGTTTTCAAAATAAAATTTTGAGTTAATTTTGTTTTTTATTTCTTTATTTTGTTTTGGTTATATAAAATTTAGTAATCTAATTGGTTTTATATATAATTAGGTAATATCATTTTAAAACCAAGTTAGTTTTTAAAATTTAAATATTTTGCTTATATAATTTAATAAAAAAACAATTATATAAATTTTAAAAGGAAATTTATAAATTTATCTGTAGTGTATAAACACGGGTATAATTTATTGAATTATATATTCGTGCAACATACTAATCAAAATAATTTTTACAAAAGAAAAATTAAACCCTCACTTATGGTTAGGGTAAGGGCAGGTTTGGGATTGGACAAGGTATAGTTTATACCAAAATTTCGCAAGGAATTTTTTTTGTTAGAAGTCAAAAGGTGGTTTCATAATCTAAATTTTGAGATATCTATATTGCTTGTGTATATACACATAGTGTACAAATAGAAATTGCCATTTTAAAATTATATATCAATATAAAATTTTATAAATAAATTTTTTATAAAATAAGTTATTTTAGTAAAAAATTATATATATATATTAAATAGAAAATTACTACAAATCATCACTGGTGATCATCATTGGTGATTTATAATATACAGTATAATTAGATGTAAAGTATAAACTTTTTAAACAAAGTTTATTTGTTTTAATATTAATGGGTATCCGTTAGCTGTACTAAATTTAGTACAAAATACTTAATTTAGTATAGTTAAAAAACTGAAATTTATAAAAAAATTTATTATTAACCTTATATTAAATTTTTATAATAGATAAATATATATCTATTTAATCTACTTGTAAGTTTAGAAGTATATTTTTTTTGATAAAATTTATATTTATATGTATTTATTAACTCAGAAATGAATTTAAAAATAAAAAATTATTAAATTCTAATACAAAATTTACTTATAATAAAATTTAAAAATTTTAATATATAATTTTAACAAAACTATTTTTAATATAAAATATTTAATAAAAATTAAATTTTTTTATAAAATATTATTAATATTTTATAATAATTTATAATAAAATTAAATTTTTAATATAAAAATTTTTATTAAAAAATTCAAGTAGTTTTTAAAGTTTTAAACTAATTTGCAATTATTAAAATATTTTATTAAGTTAATAACTTTAAATTTTGATTAAAGTTTGTAGAGCTAGATTTTCTGATTCTAATGATAATAAAATCATTAAATTTGACCAAAACCTCACTAAAATACAACTATTTTTATATCTAGTATATATATATACTATATATATATATATATATATATATATATATATATAATTTAAAAAAATATATAAAAATAAAAACTAAAATTTATATATTTTTTAAAATTTTTAGTAAAATTTAATAAATTTATTTTTACTATAATCAGAAAAGCCAGCTTTATAACTAGTTGAAAATTTAATATATATTAGCTTAATAAAATTTTTTAATATTATTTTATTTTTAATCTTTTAAATTAAATTTACTATAAA